AGCGGTGCCGTCATGCTGACAGAGCAGGAGGCAGTGCCACGAGGGCACAGTCCTGGACGGTTAGGACATCAGAAATAGTTTTCTGTCTCCAACTTGGATAGCTCTAGTGTCACTAGGCTGAATGTTAAAATTTCGTGGATTCTTAACATGCCTCCCAGAGAGAAGCTTTGGAGAAATGGCAGATAACCAACTCACACAAGAACAGCTGGAATAAATGGAGATGGGAGAAGAATTCTGAAGAAAGCTAAATAAGGAAAAGTTATTCACTATTTTGTGTGTGAGAAAAGAGAACATGTACAACAGACCATTAATATTACTGTAGTAAAGTGGATGAATATCACACAAAATATTTTTTCCTGACTTAGCAGTGAACTACTTCAACTGCATTTGCATTTGCATAAAAACCCATGCATCATAATGAATTCTAATCCATTTCCCACCTAAGCCATTCTAATGCTTCATACAACCAAATGAAGCAGAATTCATCAAACCTATTAGATTCATTCCTAATCCCTAAAGGACTGCTGTCTTTAGCATTTCCATGCTAACTAAAACTATTACTGATAGTTTCTTAAGACATCAGATGTGGCTGCTTCCTAAATATAATACCTATATAACTTCCTAAAAGTTTTTTCCCAGATTTGAAGAACAATTAAGAAAAGCAGGGAAATGTTGGGAAACCCACCCAAGAGACCATCTCAAATGCTACAACACATTCCCTAGCTACAAGCCAAGTACATCTCTCCTTCCCCTGGGTTCCCAGAGAATTCTGGGTAATGTTACCTACATGTATTATCTCCCCTCCTGGACTGTGGTTCCCTTCATGTGGGGAGTCGGGTCTTATTCATTCTGAATCCCCACAGCACCCTGCAGAGTGTAGGCACTCAGCTAAAGCTGGATTGAGCATGAAATTGAAGATGTCATCTCTTCTTAATGAAGGTCAAGCTCAGCCCCAGATCACGGAGGACTGTGCAGACACCGATCATAGCCGGGGGCTGAGCTGGCCCCCAGTGCCCTCCTGGAAGTAAGCCAGGCAACTGGCCCTGCCCTAGGCAGGTGGTGGGCAGAGGAAAGGGACAGAATGGCATCTACCAGGACCCAGTCTGTTCCCCTCACGAGAGCTGATTCCCACATGGGACTTGCAGGGCAGTGGGGGTGCCTGTCAGCATGCCAAAAGGAATGCCAACAGCTTCTCTGTGAGGAACTGGGGGTTTAGAAAATACTGTCTCCTCCACTGTGGGTAGCTCTCAAACTGGTCCATGATCCTCTGTGATCATCACATCATCGCTTACAAAGTTCCCAGTGATATTAAGGCTGGGTCACAATTCTTGACACCAGATGCTACATAGAAATTAAGTCAAGATAGAAAAGAAAACAAATATCTTAGTTATAAGACTAATTTAAGAGTTTAGCTAATCAGCAGACCACTGAACTGCTGCAGTTGTTAGGGGTCGAAAATACCAACTGCACTGGCAAAAGGGTCCATCAACACGAGTACAAAGCGCAGCAGGGACCAGAGGACGCGGCTTCCTGCCCTGCCTCACACGGTGGTTTCTATCGTTTCAATCACCTCCAGGTCGGACTGCGACGGGGAGAGAAGGGTGCACTCGTCCGGCTCCCAGCTACTCTCTGGACTGTAGTCTTCCTCTGAGCTCAATTCTGCTCCTTCCTCCGTGTCCTCATCACACGATTCCACATAGTGAGCCCCGACGGCATTGATCCCAGAGTCCTCAGAACTTGAGGGAGAAGAGCAGTGATCTATTTTTGGTGTATTGCTCTCTTTTGAAATTAAGGCATCGGGTGCAGAGACCTCCTGAGGGCTCATTTTGTGGGAATGTGGTGCCGGCTGCTTCTGCACATAACACATCTTCCCATTAATACACTTAACCTGGTAGTTGTCAATAAAGAGGTCTGAGATCATACAGTACCTTGGGGAGTCAGGCGGGAGGGGAGGCTGGAAGACAGATGCAAATTTCAGAAAGTGTTCAGTGAGGGAGACTGAGATCTGAATGGTGTTCGTGGGTTCCCGGGGCTTCACAGGAATCTCGGTGCTGGGGAGCTGCTCCACAGGGGTCATAGGCTGGTACACGTACTTGCCTGTCGGGAACACAGAAAAGGCCGTCGAAACCTGAGATTACTACACAAACTACAGCAATGCAGCCACAATGGCTTCTTTCCAAGGACTCTGATCTTAAAATATTTCAATGACATCTCAAAAGAAATTAGTAATAGAGTCATTCCACATTGTTATAATCAATTAAAAATAGACCATGGTACATTACATCATGGTATTTTCATCTAAAAAACTCAACACACTTTACACATCTTATATCTGAGTCCTTATAATGCCTCTGAAATAGGAGGGTGGACATTATCATCTTTATTTTATGGACAGCTTTAAATGATTTACCCCTCATACCAGATAGAATAAAGAATGTCCATGATATAGTATAGTAAAAACACAAGTTGTAAAAAAAGTACAATATACGATAAAATTAAAATTCCACTTTTATATTTAATAATTAGATGCTAATGCATACAAACTGGGAGGATATACACCAATTTGTTATCAGGATTACAGAAGACTCTGAAGTTATGTTTCTGTGTTTTAATCAGAATACACATACATACATATTTAAAAGTGATGGCCTATAGGACTGTGCTGGCCACCCCAATGGCTGGGGTAAGGTGTGGGATGAGAAACGAACTCTTTCAAGACCAAAGCTCATTAGTGTCCTAAGTAGGAGACGTTCTCAGTGACACCAACTCCACTGGCACTAAGCAACCTAAGCCCAGTAGAAGCAAAGGACCAGGCTGCGCAAGGGGCAGGCGACCTGCTGGGTGTTACTAGGAAACCAAGAGGCCCATCTCCAGATCTTCCCTACTGCTGGAGTCCTCCGTGTTTCTCATGGAAGTGAGGCCCAAATGGATCTGTTCGTGATGTGTCTTCATCCTTCTCTTTGATTTCATTCAACATTTAGCAAAGTGCTAAGGAGACTAGAGAGAGATGAAAATCGCCCAGGCTATGAGTCTAAAATGATTTCAAAATAGAAATCTGGAAGAAAAAAACAAAACAGAAAGACCCAGAGACAGCGGCCACAATTATGGGCACCCCCGTGGGTTTCCCCTAATGTGGCTGATTTATCAGTCAGTCCCCAGCTCCTGCACATACTTATGAGAGGTTTTGTACTCAGCACTATTGGCATTTTTACTCTGGACGTGGGGGCTGTCCGGTGCATCCGTGGCCTCTGCCCACCAGAGACCAGTAGCACCTCCTCAGCAGGCTTGTGAGTCAAAATATCTCCAGACGCTGTCACATGCCCCTGGGAGGCACAGCCCCCTGGGAGAACCTCTGGTTTGTGACACCCTCATGATGCAGGTGAGTCACTCACTGTGTACAACCCTGCTGCTGCTCCTGTCTGTTTTATTTCTTGGTCAGATTGAAAAGTCTAGATAGGAATCGCATTTAGACCACAAACTACCTTAGATTGCTTAAAGAAGGTAATGAAGCAGGATAGCAATTACAGATCAGAAATGTGAGCAGCAAACAGCCACAAAACAGTGCATCAGTAATATATTAGATCAATCAAGCCTATATTTTTTACGTTTTTCTTAACTTCTGTAAAAAAAAAAAAAAGTAGGCTTAGATGCCACAAATTCTTTGTAACTAAATTACCTTAACATATATTCGGCCTCATTCTGGAGTAACACATGGAAAAGGTACCTTGAAAATGTTAAGCCTTTCTATTTCCAGGTCACTTCCAAGCCAGGATGTATACCATGCAAACGCTATGGGTTGATAAAAATACAAGTGGGAAGAGCCTGCCACACCCGCCTGGGAAGCCATGTCTGAAATAGTCCAGGTGCCTTCATTTCTCTATTCCCTGCTTGTCAGGCACAGTGACATCAGGTAAGAGCTAACAGTTGGCATGGTGGGACCTCTGTCTCCAAGTATTACAAACAGGCTCATCAGCTGGAGGGGAAAAAGGGAGACTAACCCGCCAGCCCCAGGATTAGAGGACATTTCCAGGCAGGGGACAGAGAAGGGACTTGGAGAACTTGGGGACTACGCCCTCTGTCCAGAGAGTAGAACCGGGAGGAGGTTTGGTCTTTTCTGTTCTTGGGGAACAATGAGTAAGGAGTTCAGGAAGCTGTGGGTGGCAGGCACTCGAGAAATGCTGGTTACAGAACGCCAACTAAGTCCATTCCAGCCCGTGACCTCTGGTTTAGTGACCTACTTGTCACAGCCTTAGGAGTTCCTGGCAATTGATCCCCAGGCCCAGAGGGGTCACGGTTCTATTTAGTCCAAAGACGGAAGCAATCGTGAAGTCTGACTTTTGACACCTCTAACCACCCTCACCTCATCTCTCTTAACCCCCCGCCCACCTCCTTTGTGCTTCTTCATAATTAATGTCTTTACTTTTCTCTTCTTCTTGATTCTTCTACCTCTTTCTTTCTCTAATACTTTTTCCTCCAAAGCTCTGTTTTTTTCCCTTGAAGTATAGTAAAGAAAGAAGAGCAGCTGGGAGAGGAAAATGAATACTGCATTCCAGACCCATTTCCTTCCACAAGTTACACCTATTGAAGGGGGTTACTCAGAGCTGGGGAGACAGCCTGCTATCTGGTGATATGGGATACAGATGCAAAGAGGAAAGCAGAGAAGAAGAAAATTGGTAAATATGGCCAGATGAGAAACAAAGTTCAGTGAACATCTTTCAAATATTATTCTACTAGGGGCCCGGTGCACGAAATTCGTGCACTGGGTGTGTGAGGGGGAGTGGGGGGAGTGTCCCTCAGCCAAGCCTGCCCCCTCTCACATACTGGGAGCCCTCAGGCGTTGACCCCCATCACCCTCCAATCGCAGGATCAGCCCCTTGCCCAGGCCTGATGCCTCTGACAGAGGCATCAGGCCTAGGCAGAGGACCCTCATTTCCCCCCATCACTGGTTCTGCTCCCAGCCCAGGCCTGATGCCTCTGGCCCAGGCGTCAGTCCTGGGCAGGGGACCCCCAGACCCCTCCGATTGCTGGCTCTGCCCCTTGCCCAGGCCTGATGCCTTGGCCAGAGGCGTAGACCCCCATCACCCTCTAA